ATTCAAATAGCCACTGCGAATGTATTTACAAATGGAAGTAGAATGCGTGCCGCATCCCAAAAAGGGATTGATCAACGGCAAATGCTCCATCCTCTATCCTTTAAGTAGTGGAAAGGTAACTTTTCCGGCCCGCTCAGTTTTATTCCACAACAATTAGGCAGAAAACCGTCACATCACACTCCTTCATCATGATTGCTGTTCGCTCACTTAGCCTGAAGTCCCGGGTCTATGAACAGGATTCGCGGGGAAGGTACGGACTCAAAACCAAAGAACGGTCGGCAGCTGCACAACGGTATCGTAGGTTGTACTGTAAGGGTGGTGTCAGCACCGGCGCGCGATTCGCGCGAATCGCAAAAATAGCCATTTCTTCATTTGAACATTTGGAACACTGAATGTGGAATATGTTGGATCATGAACAGTCGTCATTCAGCCATAACCATCAAGCAGAGATGGAGGGTACCTCTAAGTATTGAGATCCGTCGCCCGACGTGTCGCGGACTCTGACACCAGCCTAATCGGTTAAAAAAATGCAAAATTGCTTCCGCATAAATGTTTTTAGTCTGGTCGCTGTCTTGTGAATGTGTAAGGATTTCAAAGAAATAATCTTATAGGATTTGAAACAATATTTATCGGGTGCTTGCAGGCATGGAGCAGCGTGAAAGTTAGGTAGTCCTTTCATTAATCATTGCAGTGGGTAGTGAAAGTATGCCGTTTGCAAGAGTGACCTCAGCGCTCACCTTGGCATTCAGAATGTGGCATTCTGGATACGTTGAAAGTTAGATATTATAAAACTGCATTTGATTTCAGGTATGGATAACAGGCTTGCCGAAGCTTGAACGTCAAGAGCACTACGACCAAGGTCCATACGCCGTCATTCTTGCACCGACGAGAGAATTGGCGCAGCAGGTGGACCTTCGTTTTTTTCAGATCCAAATAAAATGCTGATTCCCATTCGTTATGCTTGTATTGTTATCCAACTCATAAGTACATCAACATGTTCAATTATTCAGATCGAAGAGGAAACCAATAAGTTCGGAGAATTGCTGAAGATCCGAACTGTCTCAGTTATAGGAGGAGCCTCGCGTGAAGATCAAGGAATGAAACTCCGAATGGGAGTCGAAGTAAGTTAGATGGTGTTTTCATGAGCCCAAATGGATCTCCATCGTATGCTTCTGGAAGTAAATTTTCTTCTCAGCAATTGCTGCTGTTTTTCAGGTTGTCATTGCCACTCCCGGGCGTCTTTTAGACGTACTGGAAAATAGATACCTTCTTCTTAACCAATGCTCCTATGTTATTCTCGATGAGGCTGATCGTATGCTGGACATGGGATTTGAGCCGGAAGTTCAAAAGGTTCCAAATTCATGGATTGTTTTTGATTAATGTTGCCATGTGTTTATATTAGGATTTCCCAAAAGTTCGTGCTTGTTCTAAACTTCTGTTTTTGGGCCCTACTTTTTTAAAACACTTTCCTTCATCAGTATGTGACCATCACCAACTATGGCTTGTCGTCAACAAGAAGCCAAACGGTGCATGGCTTACGTCCAAGATGTTTGTGGGTTTCGACAAAAAATAGATTTTAGCTCGATCTCGAGGCGCCTAGGGGAATTGAATTTTTATTTTGCAAAGTGGCTACTGAGTAGATTGCATTTTCGAGGGCTAGTCTGCGTTGTACGTGAATATTGTAGGAGTTCATACCTTAGCTTCGAAGATCCCGAGCTTCATCATCTTCGAATGATCAACGGTTGTCGGAAGCGGGCATACTTTTTTTGAGTTCTAGAGGTAGTTGTTGGTGTTTCACCGTAAGAGCACCGTCAATCATAGTAGACGTGACTAGTTACGGTGCCGTAGCTAGAAGAAAGTTTCCTCTGGGGAACTCCCGCAAATTCTCCATATGGGCAAAGAAAAAAACTCATCAGGAACTTGCTGGATTCTCTGCTTCTTCTGTTCGATCCAGCCACCTGTTCTTTCGCATGTGGTTGGCATAGAAGTTTTGCTTTCTCATCCGCAGTCGTTGTTCCGTTAGTTTAGAATTAATTATCGGGGAATTCAGAGAGAATATGTAGACTGCACTCGTTCCGCACTCTTATCATCAGTGATCAAATCATGAAGAAATGTTTGGCAGAGTCGTTAACCCTTCTAACCGGGGAGCCATGAAACCTCTGTGAACTGTGCATCTGAAATATTAGGGCGTGATGAGCACATAACAGGTTATTCCGTGAGGACTGGCTTTGATGAGAGAGCGCAGCCTGGCAAATTCCCTTGCTGCGGTCTTTTCTGAACAATAGTTTTTCTCCTGTCGCAGCTCATGAGCGAAGGAAGGAGATTCTCCATTCCGATACCGCGTGACGGATGAAGGAAAGATGAAGAGAGGAGACGAGGAGAAGTATCGCAAGCAAATGTTTTTTTGGCTCGATCGGTTTATGGCCCAGTAGAAATTTTCAAATAAAGCGTGAAAGCATGGTTCTCTTCTTTTCTTAATTTGAGCTCGAAGAAGACGACTGAGGTGCACCTGATTCACCTATAAGTTACTACACGTAGTGCCCTCGAGCCTACGTAAACATAATTATTAATTCGCTAAAGGGCGTTTCTGGCGCGGGATCCAAAAACTTCACACTCAGCACATAGCAGGTTTTACCGTGAGGACTCTTCGCACGGACATTTGGGGAAACTTAATATTTCATATTTGTTTGTCGCTTGGAATTCCTGCTCGAAAATACAGTTAGCACCGATTGTTCACGTTTAGGTCCTCAGTTATTTGCCAGTTTCCAATCAGAAACCTGACACTGATGATATTGAACACGAGGAAGCGTTAATGAACAATTTTGCTACAAGGGACAAATACCGTCAGGTTCGATCTCAGTTTTTTTCCGAGTTTCTTTTTCATAGTTCCGCTTTATTAGAAGGTAATCTTAAAATTACTCTTTACTTTACTGCTGAAATGAAAGATGCCAAACTGAGAAAGTGGCTCGATGAGGATGTAGTCTGTTCAAACGCGGGGCCAACCGATGTACAAGTGAATGTTTTTATCCTCTTAGACAAGTCTACTGACAATTACCGGACATAGAGGAGTGAAAGGTCGGGATTTACCGCACTACCAGGGATTTGATCCCTTAGACCGCGCCCTTTGTAAGCAGCACCTCTTATCACAGCACCACTTCCGCTTTTACTTGCCGATAACGTCACGATTATAGTATTTCAGCTGCAACATGATCAATTCATCGATTCATACCCACCCCTCTTGAAAATTCTGAAAATATTCACCGGGGAATCTGGAAACAGTATGTTCGGTGATTACGCCTGGTAGACGAGTTCCTATTTCAACTGTAAACCTGTTTCTGAAAGTTTTTGCAAAATGTTGCCGAGCGTTGGTCGACATTTCGAGGAAAACTTTGTCCAGTGGCTATCTTCCTGCCTTTTGGTATTCTTTTTGCATATAAACGTCAGTTATGTCGAATTGGTCCGTAAGCTTCTTTCAGATGTTGTATTAATATTTTTTTGTTGTTTGCCGCGGCGTCTCCTTTTTGTCGTTGGCATCAGAATCGCCACATTCAAATTGTTGAAATTGATACGACAGATGGGATATGATATTGCTTTATCACCATGAGCTGGAGATTTCACTGGGATTGGGATGAGCGCGAGCGTCGATTCGTTTGAATCAGAAGCGGATAAGGTGGAAATCGAAAAACACATCTTTAAACATTCCATTTCGATCGATGGTTTAGAAAACGAATAAAGCACTAATGCCGTGGAAATTTTTGTACTATATAGAGTAACTTCAATACTATCATGACACTTTTCTAACAAATTCATAGATATAAACGTTTATTACATGAACATTGCCTTTCTAGTGAACTGTTAAATCTATAGCCATCTCTCTTCAGACGGTGATGTTCACGGCGACCTATGTCCCCAGCCATTGAACGTTTGGCAAGAGCCTATTTACGGCGTCCTGCAGTAGTGCACATCGGATCCGCAGGACGTCCCACAGAACGAGTGGAACAGGTATACTACATTAGCATGACCCTATAAAAGCCTTCAACTTAGCCCCAAATTTTTTAAATTTTGATGTAATACTGAGTGTTGCTTATAGAAGCTGTCGTAGTAAAAGGAATGTGAGAAGTAAGGAGGAAAAGTGTAAGTGATAAAAAGTGGTGTTCAGATTGTCTACATGTTGTCAGAAGACAAAAAGAGAAAGAAATTGGTCGAGGTGTTGGAGCAACACTTTGAACCGCCTATCATCATCTTCGTTAATCAGAAGAAGGTACTGAAGACTTGTTCTTTATTATTTATACTTTGCCGTTATTGCTCACCGTCCCAAATTGCTATTGAGAATTCTGTTATCTGCATGACTTTAGGGTGCTGACCTTCTAGCGAAGGGTCTCAGCAAATTGAATTTCAATCCTGTCGTCCTTCATGGTGGCAAAGGCCAGGAAACGAGAGAGTATGCGCTGCAGGCTCTCAAGGATAAAACAAAAGATATCCTTGTTGCAACTGACGTCGCAGGAAGAGGTAATTGATCCAACAATGAACGTGCTAGCAATTTTTTTTATTTCTAATGGCCCAGCATACGAATTCTCCATCTCTACTTCCATTTATAGGTATCGATATCAAGGACGTCTCCTTGGTCTTGAACTATGACATGGCAAAGTCTATCGAGGATTACACCCATCGTATAGGAAGGACAGGTAATTTTGTGCTGCTTATACGCTCGATATGTATCCTTGATGTATTTGTAAGGGAAGAGTAATATACAATAATCCATCCACTATTGGAAAGGCTGCAGTTCATAAATAGGAACGTTTTATGTCCCGTAGAAAGCAAAATGTTTCTCCTCACTTCAAATTCTTGCAGTCGTGGTAAAGTCTTTTGCCCTGTTCGATCAAGGAAGGAAGTAACGGTCTCATATATCTCCTTGAGGAAATTCCATCCTAAAAGGAAGCACAGAGATTAGGAAAGTTTTGCAAGTTGCCTCACCCCTCACACTTCAGAGGGCAGGATGCCATAGCAACGTCACCTGATTAGATCTCTTAAGAAGGACGGTCGTAAATGAAAAATGCGGCGGTTTCGTAACTAGGAGCCGGT